TAGCTGACTCCTGACACACCATGCGCACCTTCAGACTGGTCTAATGGCCAGATGAACGCTACCTCGAGACTTCTACGGTACTCCGTAGCGCATAATTACATGCTTCCACGAGCCGTCGCCCTCGGCGCAGACCTCATCGCCTTCCCCGAGCTCGCGCTCCACGTATAACCGCCTGAAGACCTGCTGCTGAAGCCCATTTCATTTCGGAAACTCGAACGCAGTCTTCCTTATTGCCGCCGAAGCGGGGAACATCTCTGCTCGTAGTCTATACATAGACTCCGACTCCGACATATACAACGCACCTCCCTAATCCCGACGCGAGATTGTCGCTCTTACCGCAAGATTTACCTGCCCATCGGGGTTTTCGCGAAGACCTTCTACTCGCGCAGGGAAGCGAATGTTCCTGTATATACCGTCCCGGCTCGCAGTTGGCGTCAACATCTGCGAAGAATCTGTATGGTCCCCGGCCCGCATTTGTGCTGGCTAGCCGCCGGCTCCGGACTCATCGTGAACATCACGTCTTCACCCTTCACGCAGGAATCGCGCCTTCCGTGAAAGATGCTGGCAACCCGCGCCTCTGACATGGCCTTTTCGTCGCCTATGTGAACTGTGGTTTTGGCGACTGGATGATCTGTATCGACGGGCGCGAGCATAATCTTCGGGACCCGACGGCGAAGTCGTAGCTCGGCGGGCCAGTTGTCGAGGAGCAGATTCTCATTGCCGACCTCGAAGTCGAAGCGGTTTTTCGTTCCCGCGCCTGCGAGACCCCTCGAAACCCTCGCAGGAACGCGCCACCGACCATCGGCCCAATCGGGCAAGCCCATCCAGGATCGCCTGTATCAGACTACGCTGAGACACGCCAAGTCCGGCGATTCAGTCCGAACGACGCCGTACCATGCGACGCCCAGCCGCTCGCCAGACATCCGAAGTCTATGCCGCGCTCACACTAGCCCTCGGCACTGCGAATGTACGAAGTGCGGCTTCGGCAGGTTGCTCATCGCCCTATCAGCGGCATAGATCCACGTTGTCCCGCGTTAGGCGGCAGACGCTCTTGGCAGCGACAAACGTGGTATGGCATCGCATGCCTTCGCGATTTCGTCGAAGGCAGTGTACTTGACGCATGGCGCTTGCCGACAAATGGCATAGATCTTTGGACACTTCGATGAGGAGACGCGTCAGCGCTACATCGGCACTCGGGGTCTGGGCGCCAAAAGTTTTCGGGGACGGAGGCGGTTGGTTGCTGAAGAAACTTGCAGTCCCGCATACGGGTCAACCTGGATATGGCGGTCTCGAACAATTTCAACTGGCTCGTCCTCACTACCGGCAACAAGAGCGAGATTGCTACCGGATATGCCGACACTCGGCGACATGGCGGAGGATACGCCGTATCAAGGGTGTCCCCAAGCAACTCGTTTATGAGCTATGCCGATACCGCCACACCATCGGCTATGCCCCTGTCATACCACAGAGCGTCATAGACAAGCACCCAGCGCCGAACTTCGCCCCGACCAGAAGGACGAAGACTCCTTCCTCCTTACAGCGTCCTGGGACCCTCCTCAGGCGTTACGTGGAAAGGACTACGGTTCGACGACATCGTTGCAATGGGCTACGACCCCCGACACGTCGTGAAACACATCATAACTCTCGTTGACCGCAACGAGTACAATCGGCCGCCAGTCTCCCCCCGGCTCAAATCACGCCCGCGCAACTTCGGTCGACTTCGGCCGGGTCCGCGACGCCCGCATGCCCATCGCCAACCCTTACCTCCCGTTCTAAGCCGCGTAGAGTTTGCTGTCCGCCATATCCCAACCTGGTATGGCATCCCACTCGCATCTGCAGCGCGACGTCCGGCCAGTCCGTAACTAGCAGCGTCCCCGCTGCTGCCTCACCACATGCCCGTCCAATCATGATTGGCTTGGCCATCCACGAAATCATCGCCGGTTCGTTCGTTTCCCGATTGATGACCGTGATGTCTGCGTCCGCGCCCTCACTGAAATGCCCCTTGTTCGGCAGTCCCAGCATTCTCGCTGGGGTCAACGACAGCTCGTCGCCATCTCCAGGTGGGTCAGCGCATTGAACTTCACCAGCGCCATGCTCGACTGTATTGCCACATTTCGAGGGTGGCAGCCGCCGTCCGTGCTGACCGCGTTCACTATGAACTCGCCTTGTGCGTTCTTTGCAGTAGTAAGCTGTCGCGTGGACGGCGGTTTCCGGGAAGCTCATGCCACCTGCGTATTCGCGCTCTCATACAGCACCAGTGCCTCCTTGCCTTCAGGGTTACACCACATGCCCGCCGCCTGCCGATGACTGAGGCATAACCGTCAGTATTGCTGCCCCATTCCTCGCGGTCGGCGTGTATCCACCGCATCGCCAGCAGTTGCGCGGCACATCCGCCTGCACATTCCCTTCAGCGTCACAGCTGCCGCTCGTCCCGTTCTTTATCGCGTGGTAAACCTCCGAGTTCACTGTCCGCTCATTTTTCCCAGTATCGTCGGCCGTGCCTCGTCGCACTCCTCATCGCTTCTTCGATACCTCCCGCAGTACGAGTTCCATGGCATCGTGCAGCCGCCCGTTCCCACCAACTGCGGTATCTCGCGCACGCCGCCCAGATACTGCCCGACTCCCGCGTGCCAATGTGAACGCGACATAAGCCTGCTTGGTTTCGTTGCAGGCGTGAATCACGTCCGAAGTCGCCTGCGGGCTGAACGGATGATAGCCGCCAGTATCTTGATGCCAAAGCACCCTGCCTGCCGCAGCGCGCCAGCAACGATGTTCTCGTGCCTCCACCGGCGACGGCTCACCCGTCGGCATGGTAGCCCCCCGGGAATCAAGGCGTACAGCCCGGCTACATTCAGTCCGGCCCCTCTGCGCTTGATGCCGTCCACGAGGCTAGACCCTGTGCCGCCCATGTCCAGTACGGTCGTAGTGCCAGCCCGCGCAAGCATCGCGTAGCCTAGAGCCGGGTCCCAGTTGCGCGCGAGTCCAGCCACATGCGCGTGCGTATCAATCTGTCCAGGCATGACCCACCGCCCTGACACATCGATAATCTCTTCGCCGTCGAATGGGTCAAGTTCGGGAGCAATCCGCGCAATCATCCCCGCCTTCACACCAACATCTGCCACATCTTCAAAGCCATTCGCCGGGTCTAGCACGGTTCCACCGCTCAATATCAAGTCGTATTTTGCCATACTCGTTCCATCCAATTCTGCCCATGTTTCTGTCGGTGTTAGCTTCCATTCGTTATGTTACACTGACATCCGATAACTGAAAACCGACCACTGAAGAATGTGCTGGAGGTTCAATAAGTGAAGATTGGAGCGATATTCCCACAGACCGAGATAGGCAATGACACAGGTTCAATCCGCGAATTCGCGCAGTCAACGGAGTCGCTGGGCTTCGACTTCCTGCTCGCATTCGACCATGTGCTCGGCGCAAACGCAGAGACGCATACCGACCTGACAGGTCCCTACCGCCACACCGACGCCTTCCATGAACCCTTCGTGCTCTTCGGCTACCTCGCTGCAATAACCAGCAGAGTAGAACTTGCCACCGGCATCATCATTCTGCCGCAGCGCCAGACGTGCTAGTAGCGAAGCAGCCGCCGCCGTTGCGTGCTCAGCGGAGGACGACTGCGACTAGCCATAGGCTAGGCTTGGAACCATGTGGAGTTCGAAGGTCTCAACGAGAACTGGCGCAACAGGGGCGCCCGCTCCGAAGAGCAGATTGATGTTATGCGCCAACTCTGGACTAACGAACTCATCACATACGATGGCCGCTGGCACAAGATTACCGACGCTGGCATCCTTCCCCTGCCGGTGCAACGCCCCATACCGGTATGGCTCGGGGGCAGCTCAGACCGTACCGTTCGCCGCATCGTCAACATCGCAGACGGCTGGATTCTCACCGGACGCCCCGATGACCGCGCCAAGCACTTAGTGAACAAGCTCCACGCCTACGCTGATGAAGCCGGACGAGATGCGAGCAGCATCGGACTCGAAGGCTGGGTATCCGCAAGCATCGGCGGCCCCGACGATTGGGCAAAGGAAGCAGAAGGCTGGAAGGCGCTCGGTGCGACACACGTATCCCTCAACACCATGCGCTCAGGACTCGACTCGCCAGACGCTCATGTGGACGCCATACGGCAGTTCAAGGATGCAACTTCGGGGCTGTAACCAGCGTATTCGCATAAACATGACGGTCAGCCACTTCAAGTAAGTTGGCTGACCGTTTTAGTTTTCAGATTTCAGCAGGACCACCCAGTTCTGCAATTGGACGATCACACAAAAGACTCTTTCCAATCCGAATTTCTGTCAGTTCACACAATTGGACGTCTGTGCCCTTTCACAAATCCATGACGGGCTACTAAATGCGCTATAATTGGCATATAGCGTAACGCCAACAATCTGATCTTCTATAGTTTAAAGCACACCATGCCAGAATCTACCGAACTCAAGCGAACCTCCCTCTACGACACCCATGTCTCGCTCGGCGCGCGCATCGTGCCGTTCGGCGGCTGGGCGATGCCCATTCAGTACGACAGCATACTTCAGGAGGCGAGGGCTGTCCGAAGCAGCGTAGGCCTGTTCGATGTGTCGCACATGGGCAGGCTGGAGATAAAAGGCAGCGGCGCGGCAGCCCTGCTCAGCCGCGTGCTCAGCGTAGGCGCAATATCCATGCGCGCTTCCCGCGCCCGCTACTGCCTAATCTGCAACGAAGAGGGCCGCATCATCGACGACTGCATCGTCTATCGGAACGGAGAGGAAGACTTTCTTCTCATCCCCAATGCCGCAAACACCGCTGCAGTTACTGACTGACGGTTGCGAACCGCTGAACCGAGCCCGATACAGTCAGCATCACCACCATGTCCGCGCTGGAAACAGCAATGATGTGCAGTGCGGCCCGCCATCGATCGCAAGGCTGAACAATGCTGCAGCTGTGGACGACTTGTCATCCGTTCTGCCATTTACAACCGTACGGACCAAACTGGACGCGCGGAATGCATGCTGGCGCACACAGGTTATACAGGTGAAGATGGTTTCGAGGCGATAGTGGCGGCAGAGGATGCCGCCCACATCTGGATGACGCTGGTTGATGAAGGCGCCGCGTCTTGCGGGCTGGGCGCGCGCGATGTGCTACGCCTTGAAGCGGGCCTGCTATTGCATGGCAACGACATGAGCGTTGACACCAACCCTTACGAGGCCGGGGTGGGGCGTTTTGTGAGACCCGACAGACGCGGTTACGTCGCCAGAGAGGCTCTGCTGCGCGCGCGGGACGAGGGCGTCGAAAGATCACTTGTTGGCTTTGTAATGACGGGAAGAGGCATAGCGAGGCACGGCTACAACATTATGAGCGAAGGCCGTGAGATCGGCGAGGTCACCAGCGGCAGCCCATCCCCGTTGCTTGACAGAAACATAGGCTTGGGATATGTTCCTGCTGATTATTCGGCGGAGGGTACGCCCCTGCAAATCGACATTCGTGGGCGCCCCGTGGACGCCGAAGTTACCAGTTTGCCATTCTACATACGGAGTTAGAAACAATGACGCTTGACGCCCTTAAGTACTCGGAGGAACACGAGTGGGTGCGCCTTGAATCGGATGGCATTGCAGTCATCGGAATCACCGATTTCGCAGCCGAAAGCCTGGGCGACGTAGTGTTCGTCGAACTTCCCGGAGTGGGAGCCGAACTAGTACAGTTTGAGAAGATGGGTGAGATTGAGTCGGTTAAAGCAGTGTCCGACCTTTACTCTCCCGTGTCCGGAACGATTGCGGAGCGCAACGATTCCGTCATAGACAGCCCTGAACTGGTCAACGACAGTCCTTTCGATTCAGGATGGATGCTTCGAGTTATCTCTCCGACAGCGCGCACTGGACAACCTCATGTTCCGTAGCGAGTATCAGACGATGCTTGAAGCGCAGCCATAGCGCCCATCCTGTGGATGGATCCTGGCCTCCCAACAGGTGTGGGAATCTCGATGTGTGAGTGCGCGACCGACATCACCGACGCTCCGCCAACGTATCTCGTCCAGAAAGCACGCACTCAGGCTGACTAACCGAAATAACTGTCAGCCGACGATCGCAAATGACCGACTCATACTTTACATCTCCCTATTCGCCAAACACCGATGCCGACAGACGCCAGATGCTAGATGCAATTGGCGTTGATTCGGCAGACGAGCTATTCATCGACGTTCCTGAGCAGCACCGCAATCCTGCGCTTGACTTGCCGCCGCCGATGTCGGAGTTCGACCTGAAGCGTCTATTACTTCGCCGAGCTTGCATCGATGAACAAAACGCCCGGAGAGTACGCCTGTTTCTTGGGCGCGGGGTCGTACAGGCATTACATTCCGTCAATCGTGCGCCAGCTCACTAGCCGCAGCGAGTTCATGACAGCGTACACGCCTTACCAGCCCGAAATCTCGCAAGGCACACTCCAGACTGAGTTCGAGTTTCAGACACTCTGCGCCCAACTCACGGCAATGGATGTCGCCAACGCAGGCATGTATGACGGCTCCACATCGCTCGCCGAAGCAGCGCTTATGGCGTCACGTGTCACTCGACGCAGCCGCATCGCGGTGTTGGATTCAGTCTCACCTGCGTACATCAGCGTACTCCGCACATATACCGAGGCGCAGGGCATCGTCATTGATGTCGTGAGTTCAAACAATCTGCACCTTTCCGAAGAAACGGCCTGCCTCGTAGCCCAGCAACCCAACTTCCTGGGCTACATTGAGGACATGCAATCCCTTGCCGACCAGGCCCACTCACTAGGCACTCTATTCGTGGCATATGCTGACGCTCTCTCCATGGCAATGTTCACACCTCCAGGCGAGTACGGCGCGGACATCGTCGCGTCCGAAGGCCAGGCGCTCGGAGTGCCCCCAACATTCGGCGGCCCCTATGTCGGCATCTTCGCCTGCAAGCAGGATTTCATACGGCAGATGCCCGGGCGCATCGTCGGCAGAACGGTGGACACAGAGGGACGCACCGCTTACGTGCTGACGCTCCAGACGCGAGAACAGCACATACGCCGTGAGCGAGCCACCTCCAACATCTGCACATCAGTCGCGCTCATCGCCTTGATGACAACAGTCTACATGGCAGCCAACGGCAGGCACGGCATGCGCCGCACCGCCGAACTGACATATCAGAAGGCACATTATCTGGCATCTCTAATAGCCGATATTCCGGGATATTCTGTCGTGGATGGCGGCATCTTCTTCCAGGAATTTGCAGTGCAATGCCCAGTGACACCGGCAGCGCTCAATGAGCGGCTGCTCGACCACAAGATAATCGGCGGTCTGGACATCAGCGACCGTGTGCCCAATGGGATGCTCCTCTGCGCCACTGAAGTCAACACCCGTGCGGAAATCGACGCTTTCGCCACCGCGCTTGCGGAGATAGGCAGTTCAGATTGACCACGCTACTTGAAAGGCTGTCCAAAGACCGGCGTCGCCTGCTAATGGATCGCAGTGTCACCGGCAGAGTCGGCGCAACTCCTCCGCAAAACGACGTCCCGCATCAGCCGTTGCCAGACGACGCACTGCTGCGCGACACACTGGAGTTCCCAGAGATAAGCGAGAACGAACTCGTGCGCTACTTTCTCGCAGATCAGCCAGCTCAACTTCTCCATTGACCACAACTTCTATCCGCTCGGCAGTTGCACGATGAAGTACAACCCTAAGATCAACGATGAAGTCGCGTCGATCCCGGGCTTTGCCGACATTCATCCGCTGCAGCCCGACGCCACGGTTCAGGGCGCTCTCAGACTGATGTGGGAGTTGCAGCAACGGCTAATCGAGATAACAGGGATGAAAGGCTGCTCGCTCGCGCCGATGGCAGGAGCAGACGGCGAGTTTGCCGGCATGCTGATGGCGCGCGCATACCACCTCGACAGGGGCGACACGGCGCGCAACAAGGTGCTCATACCCGACAGCGCGCACGGCACCAACCCCGCAACCGCCAGCATGTGCGGTTTTGAGGTCATCACTCTGCCATCCGATGCTGACGGCAATACAGACCTTGAAGCACTGCGCTTTTCGGTCGGCGATGATCTCGCAGGCTTGATGATTACGCTGCCAAGTACGCTGGGGCTCTTCGATTCAAACATCCTTGAGGTAGTGCAGATCGTGCGCGACGCGGGTGGCGTTGTTTATGGCGATGGCGCAAACCTCAACGCACTCCTTGGGCGCGTCAAGCTCGGCGACCTTGGCTTCGACGTGATGCACTCCAACCTGCACAAGACTTTCACGCAGCCTCACGGCGGGGGCGGCCCCGGTGCTGGTCCCGTCATTGTCGGTGAGCGCCTGATGCCATACATGCCAACGCCCGTAGTGAGCCGCAGGGTCGATGCAGATGGTAATGAGCAATACACTCTGGACGCGCCGCCAAAGACCATCGGCAGGATGGGCGCGTTCAACGGCAATTTCGGGGCGCTCGTGCGCGCGTATGCTTACATCACGACGCTTGGCGACGAAGGCATAGCCAACATCAGCCGAGACGCCGTCATCAACGCTAACTACATCCTGAGTCAGCTCAAGGGGCACTACGACCTCCCATACAACCGCACCTGCATGCACGAAGTAGTATTCTCGGCGCGAAACCTGAAGCGCGAACATGGCGTCAGCGCGCTGGACGTCGCAAAGCGACTGATCGACTACGGCATCCATCCTCCCACTATGTACTTCCCGCTCATAGTCGAAGAAGCGTTGATGATCGAGCCGACCGAGACCGAGAGCAAAGAGACGCTCGACTTCTTCATCGAGGTGATGCAGGCGATAGCGCAGGAGGCTCAGGACGACCCCGACTTGCTGCACAACGCGCCTCACGACTCGCCCAACACGCGCCTTGACGAGGCTCGCGCGGCACGGCGTCCATACCTGCGATGGCGGCCCGCCGAATAGTGATACAATATCGGGGCTTCACGCAAGCAGCGCCAAGTCAATATGCTAATAATAGGAGAGTGAGTAAAGACAATGGTTGACGTAGGACAAGTGGCGCCGGACTTCACGCTTCCGGCACAAGACATGAGCAATATAACCCTGAGCGACTACAGAGGCGATAAAGCGGTCGTCTTGTCGTTCCACATATTCTCGTTTACAGGTGGTTGAACGGACCAAGTCACCTCGATGCGCAGCTACAATGCTGACTTCGAGGAGAAGAATGCCCAGGTTCTGGGCATCAGCTGCGACGCCCGTCCGTCCCAAACCGCGTATTCGACATCGCTAGGCAACTTGCCGTACCCGCTGCTGTCGGACTTCCATCCCAAGGGAGCGATGACGCAGGTTTATGGCATTTTCAACGAAGAGCGAGGCGCACCAAACCGCGCCATCTTCATCATAGACAAGGAAGGCGTCATTCGCTTTAAGCGCCTCTATGACAGCGCCAGGGCTCTCGATCCCAAGGACATCCTCTCAGAAATCGACAAGCTCTAGGCGCAACTGACATGAACGACGACGCTCCTGTCCGACATATCTTTCATGAAGGCGAACACGCTCTCATCATTGACCGGCGGGGGCGTCGTTATCTGGCTCTTCTGCAGGCAGGCTCGAAGTTCGAGTCGCATCTCGGCGCATTCCTGCATGATGACGTTATCGGCAGCGACAGCGGTTCGTGGATGACTACGAATCGAGGCCATGTGCTGCTCGCAGTCAAGCCCACTATGGCTGACTTCGTGCTGGACATGCCCCGAATTGCCACTGTCGGCTACCCGAAAGACCTAGGCACCATTCTCGTATATGGCGACATCTTCCCCGGTGCGCGTGTGCTGGAGGCGGGCTCTGGGAGCGGTGCAATGACTATGGCGCTGCTTCGAGCCGTCGGCGAGCGCGGTTCGCTGGTCTCGTATGATGTGCGCCAGGACATGATTGACCGCACGCGCGCGAATGTGAGCGCGATGCTCTCCAACACCTCCAACCTCACGCTGAAGCTGGGCGACGTGTACGAAGGCTTTGAGGAACGAGAACTGGACCGCGTTGTGCTAGACCTGCCGGAGCCTTGGCATGTCGTCCCGCACGCTTCAGAAGCACTTCTCCCCGGCGGAATCTTCGTGAGCTTCTCACCTACCGTCCTGCAAGTTCACGAAGTTGTAAGAACGTTGCGGTCAATGCACACCTTCGAGATGCTGGAAACTATGGAAGTTCTGCAGCGCCCCTGGAATGTGAGCAATCGCAGCGTCAGACCGGAGCATCGGATGGTCGCACACACTGGCTTCATCACGATAGGCCGAAAGTGTTCGCCACGTCCGGCGTCCAACGTTGCTGAGCGAAATTAGCGAATGTCCTGCTGCCAATCGTCCCACAGCAACGGCGTTTCCCAAGAGGTATGCGGAAAGCGTCCTTGCATTAGAGGCATGTGACGGTCAGTAAGCATCGGCAATGGCATTGTTTGGCAGGGCGCATACCCAGGCTGAATCTGAGCTAAATCGGAAACGCCGGTCGCTTTCTCTTGGAATAGCACCTTGAAGCCGCCAAGTCCTTCAGGTTTCACCAGCTCCCGCATCGACATGAGATTGGCGTTCCGCTCATACTCGGGCATTGGTTCCTGTCTCAGGCGATGGAGCAGGTCATTTAATCCCAGCCCTTGGAGAAGCTCGGCCTGCGTCATGTATGCCAGCGTGTTCAACCCTGCAGCGTAGCCCTCGGATTGCAGCAGAGAAAAATCCACCTGCGCGCTGATGTCCTGCCTGCCAATGCGCTGATAGGGGCTGCTTCCCTCCGTGTGCCGATAATAGGTCTGAAGTGTGCCAAATCGTCGACGCTGCGAGTACAGCTCAGCCGCTTCATAACCGTAATCGATTGTGATGACGAAGCCCTTATCGAGCGCACGCGCCACATCGTCGAGCCAAGGTTTGATCTGTAAATTCACTTCGCCGCAATGCCTGTCCTCAAGCGCAAAGCCCAATCCGTCAAGACGCTCATTCAGGGTCGGCGTCGATGGCTCGACCAGTATCTCTATGAATTTGCCGTCTTTATCGAGAGCGACATATACTTCGAGCGCTTCCCGTCCGGACATCTGAAACCGATGGACGGGTAATGCGTCAGCGAATTCGTTGGATATAAAGCAGCCAACCACATCGCTGAGTGGCAAAGTATCCGCAATCAGCCGTTCGATATGCGGGGCATCTCCGCTCATTCCGCGATTCGCATCATCAGGAGAATATCGTTCGATGCAGACGTATCTCAGTTTATGGGCAAACTCATCGCACAGTTCTTCGGCAGCGGCGCAATGTCGTTGGCAAGCAGTCCATTCCCTGCGCCCATCTCGACGACGGTGAAATCGGAAGGACTGCCCAAGCGCATCCACATGCACTGGAGCTGCACAGCAAGCAGTGCGCCGAATGCCGGATGCACTGCAGGGCTGGTGTAGAAATCACCGGCCGCGCCAAACGGCTTTTCGCTGGTGTAGTAGCCGCCAACAGGATGATACAGCGCCATTTGCATGAACTCTGCAAACGTGATTCTAGCCCGTTGCCTGATGCGTTCCCTTATCGCCTGCTCGGCTGCCGTGGTCTCATTCATATCGTGATAGACAGAAGAAAAGGGACACCATTGATTAAATGATGTCCCTTTCCCTGTGTGTGGAATCTGTATTAATTCTAGGTACTGGTCTTGGTACTGGAATTGGACTGCCGCAGCCTCCTATTTCGAGAACCCTGCCTGTCCCAGCCCGAACCTTGAATGGAATTGTTGAACTCGCGACGCTCGCCACAGCGCTTGCAGTGGCCTACGCTCATGGGACCGTTTGGGCTTTCAATCTGCCAGTGGTGCGTACAATCTGTAGTCTCGGCAGTCTCTTGTGTCATCGCCCAATCCTTTCATTCAACGAATGTCCTATTCTCAGGGATTCTACTGAGTTTCACCTTTGATCAATGGGAACGTACTCCACATCCATTTCCCCGACATATAGCAGCCTGGGGCGCAGAAGAATGTTGTTATCGAACTGCTCCATGACCTGCACGGTCCAGCCGGGGATGCGTCCCATAGCAAAGATGGATATAAACAGGTCCTCAGGAATGTCAAGCAAGTAGTAGATTGCCCCGGAGAAGAAGTCCACATTCTGGCAGATGCCGCGCCTCGAATAAGGCTCCATTACTTTAGCAACTGCTTCCAGAATGGAATACCATCCTGGCTGTCCCTTGCGAACACCCAAATCGCGGGCATCGTCCATCAGGTGTATAGATCGTGGGTCCACCGCCTTATAGACTCGGTGTCCGAAGCCCATTACTCTACCACCCTTGCTGCGAAGGTCGGCTACATATGCTGCGGCATTGGATTCGTCACCAATTTCCAGCGCCATCTTCATAACTTCTTCGGCAGCACCCCCGTGTGAAGGGCCCTTCAGAACTCCGACTCCTGTGGTAACCGCGCAATGCAAGTCAGCCTGCGTAGATGCCGTAACTCTTGCGCCGAAGGAAGACGCGTTGATGCCATGCTCGGCGTGCAGAATGAAGTCTTTGTCCATGAGTTTGGCATCCCGAGGATCAGGCTCCTCACCAAAAAGCATGTACAGGAAATTACTGGCGTGGCTCAAGCTGCTATTGGGAGCGATGGGCTGCTTGCCCTCGCGTATGCGTGCGTGTGCTGCAACTATCGTGGACGCCTGTGCCGTGAGTCTGATGCCTTTGCGAAGCGTTGCCTCTGCAGAGTTGTCTTCAGTATCCGGGTCAAATGCAGATAGTGCTGAAACAGCGGTGCGAAGCACATCCATCGGATGAGACTTCTGAGTGATGCTGATGACACTCAACACCTCTTCTGGCAGTGCGCGGTTGGCTCTGAGCTCCGCATCAAAAGCGTCCAACTGTTCGCGGTTGGGAAGTTCGCTATAAAGCAGTAGATAGATGGTCTCTTCAAAGGTTGACTTAGTGGCCAGATCGTCTATGTTGTAGCCTCTGTACAGAAGCTTGCCGACGTCGCCATCAATGAAACTGGACCTGGTTCGGTCTATAAGCACATCCCGAAGGCCTCTGTGAATCTGGACCTTCTGCTCAGTTGCCATACGATATTCCTCCCAGGTCAGATTTTGCGTTAATTCGCTGATCTTCTAGTCCCATTTAAGGCACTATAAGCTGAGCCAATTTTAGCATTCAGTTCACTGGAGTGTCAAACATTCAGCACATGAAAAGTTGTAGTCTGATGGCGTCTGCGCTATCCTATACGCGTGGCAAAAAGGCAAGTTACGGGCGTGTTCAACCGCCTATTTCAGGGAGTTGGCAGAACAAGATGAGCAATCAGCAAGTGCAAGAATACAAGGGCGTAATGGTGCTCCCGGGAGAGCAAGATGAGCGTAAAGTATCGCTTCCCTTAACAGAGAGACACCGTCTGTGGACATACGCTTCGATGAAACCGATAGAGGGTGTGAAATGGAGTGGCAGGCGCAGAATCTCACCGTCGCCAACCGTCTGAAATACGTTGAGTTCGTGTTTACCACGACTGGATTGCCTAAAGAGGCGATCGGCGTAACATGGAAGTTCAACAGCAGCCTGATCGACGAATCCTTGGCTGGAGTAGTAATCGCCCAACCAAACGACCAGCGAATTACTGGCGAAAAGGGCTTCGTACTCACGCGAGCGGACTGCATGACTAGCGCTTAATCGGAGCTCTATGCTCCAGAAGTTCAGTAAAGCTGCGAAGATTCCACAACCAATGAATGAGTGCTGACTACTGCTCTTCTTCCGGTGGAAACAACAGAGTTCCGATTGTTTCGTATGCCTGATCGTTAGCAAGCCCCCATGACTACGCCGGCTCTTGCATCGCGGAAGTACCGCTCGATGGCAGTTCACGGGCAAACGCCGTGCCGCCGAACCTCGTCATCAGGTCCTGCGTAACCCTACGCGCAAGTTCCGAGCATATCACCTTGGCCTGAAGTAGGGCAGCAGCGACGGCGATCTGCCTTCGTCCATCATTGACGCAGCCACGTGCAGGAACGCTCGCGCCGACTCTATCTGCGCACTCATCTCAGCGATACGACGCTGGTTGATAGGATTGTCCAGACGCCTTGCGCCACTTGCAAAGCGCCTATCGCCCTCGATGCAACGCAAGTTCGAATGCGCCTGACGCGATGCCTAGGTATGCCGCTCATAAGTGAGAATAGCACGGCATCATGTATTGGCCATGACCGGCTCTTTTCACCTTCAAGCTCGATCCCGAGAGGTTTACTTCGGGCACAATACCATTGAAGACCATCGGGGCGCTGCATTGCCCCGCATGCCAAGTCCGTCCCATTCGCCGACGGTCTTCCATTCCACTTCATCGGCCCTCAATCATGAGCAGGTCAGGCGGGCCGGCCATTCGTCCACCTTCAACGCGGCAGAACATATGTAGTGTGAGCGTGCCGCGCGAAGTATACAGATAGGACTTACGAATGTTGTCGAGCTGAAACCGCCGTCAACAAGAGGCAATGGGACGTCCGGAGCAGACACCGGCCGCCAATCCCTGCCCGATTGGCCACGCGATTCGCCACCGGGCGGCAGCACCGCAAAGACCTCGCCTCTTGCAAGTGGCTCGACGACGAACCGCTTCAATTGCAGCGCTGTCGGTATGCGGCTGACCGCTTCCACCGATTCCAGGTGCATCTTGTAGCACATGGCAGTAGAGGTGCACTTCTTGGCGATTCCTCTACGATGAGGACATGTCGTAACCATGTCTCCACCAAGCCCGCCGTGCTCTTGTCCACGCGCAACGCCCACAGGCCATTCACCCAGCGCCTCCAACAGATTCCTGGGGAACTGCGCTTCGCATCGTATACTTCTGCGGCGCGCGGCGCGCAATCTCGCGCTCAGCAAGCTGAGCAACGCGCTTCTTTCCACTCAGCTGCTCATTCGTCAAGTGATTAGTCGTCATCTACGCCCTCTGAAACGGCTTGATGTGATGTCCATTAGCAGACTCATTCCAAAGCGGCTTTGTGTCAATGTCAACTTTCGGAGAAGGGGCTGTCGCAGGACCCAACAGGACTGGCAAAGACGAAATAGCGTGAGTCGCGCTAGGAATCAAACAAGCGTAAGTATAACGTGGGGAGCAATGCTTATCGCAAAGCGACAACCACGTCGACCGGAAGGCGCGGGAAACAGGGCGGCGTCGATTCAGAATGCAATCACAATGCATTTGGCAAAGTTGTTCGAGATTGGAACAGGTCACTCAACCATCTGAGACCTGCTCGCCGATATTATAACCGGCTCCAGGCCCTTATCCCCGCTTGCTTAAATTTTATTCAATAATCTTGCGCCGAGCGCGGAATCAGCGTAGGACATGAGCGCATAAAACGCGGCGTGCGGACTAGACAAACGGACGGATTGAAAGCACGTTGCGAGCGCCAAGCCAATGAAGCAGGTGTACATTAAGCTGAAGGCTGCGGGGGAAGCGGTAGTAAGAGGTACCGACGCCACAAATACGGACGCTGCGCTTACGAGCTTCAGTTTAGTGCCTCGCTTGCGATTGGTGAAAGGCTTACTGCCTCCGATGGCGAACCCGATGGCTGCCAGCACAGCAACATACACGAATGGCAAGACAGTATTAAGTAGCGGATTGCCGAGAAATACCAGTTAAAGAGCAACGGAGCCGCGAACATGAACGCACCTCCCCCGATCAACCCAAATGCGCAGCCCGCCGCAATCCCTCTGATGAGATACTGAAATGTGAATACTAAAGTGGGCAGGGGTTGACGCGGGGCCAGCGGGACAGGCATGCCAACGGGAGAATGCACAAGGCAATGGGGCATATGGTCTCCTCACACCTGCCACAGCGTATGTGGTCGCAGTCTTGGGGGGTCGGGCGCAATACTGCGTTTGTGTCATTAATCTTGATGCCTCTGAAAAATCTGCGGTTGGGGTCCGATCTGTCCAGTCTTCCGTTTGGGTACATCCTGTCCATAGGATACGGACAGATTAGCGTTTGAAGAACAGACTGCTCGACGGACAGCCTCTCCCAGTTCGCTTGTCAAGCGCTTGGCGGCAAGCAGAACGGCCTATGAGCATGCACATCAGGACAAACCTCCGTCGTCTGCTGCGAGTCCCGGACGCTGACGGCTATGGCGGTAATGGCAGCGCAATCAGCGCAACGAGCGTCAGCAAGCTGGTGTCTTGAGCACGAATCGGCCTATGCCAGCAATCAGGATCGTCGCTATCAGCGCTTCATACCACAGGGCGAACCCGAGCATTACGCCACCTGCGGTTCCCACGCCGCGACCGCCAGTGAAGCGAATTATAAACGGCGACCAGTTATGACCTGCCACGGCGCAAGACCTACTGCCACCGCATCCAAGGCCGGCGTCGAGTGCGCGCGCCAGAAATACCGGCAATATCCCTTGCCGATGAGGTCGAACAGCCCTATGGCAACTCCGCCTTCGCCCCAGATGCGCGAGTGCGTTGGACGCTCCACATTGCGGGCGGGAGCCGTAGCGCGTATGTCGATGTCCGACAGCAAAGCGGCCAACGAGGTACCGGTGGGAAGTGCCGCCTCAAAGGTAGGCGGGCCGACAACGATCAGAAACCGCCGTCGTGGCGGTCATTTCGCTGCTGTCGCCGCCTCAGAGCGTGAGCGCATCTACGCTGGACATGGAGGCCCGACGTGTGCCGGCGGTCTCGGTTCGTCGGGAGTGGCGATGCGTGATAGTCAGTATACCGCCGCACGCGGATGAGGCCGAGTCGGTCCGCTAGACTCACGTAACACGGCATTGGGGATTATCTCCTACCTGCTCAGGCGTCTAGTCGCCGTAACTAGACGCTCCATTCAACCAGACATGCCGCTTTCAGCTCGCTCAGTATTTCAGGCAAAGAGGATACGCCCTCGCGGTCGGACTTGGCGGCGGAGTAGGTGGGATGCGCAATTACGGGCAGCGCTCCGTGCTCCACAAGCAGACGCACGGCGTCCTCCGGGAGCAGCTTCGGGCGTTCGACGTAAGCCGAGCCGTTGCGTCCTATGGTACTTGCAAATGCGTCGCGCGGGTACTGCACATAACCTGCTTCCACCATCGCCTGCGCGATGTGAGGCCTGCCGATTGACGCATCACCCGCAATCTGCTGCACGCGATCCCAGGATATGGCCACTCCCATGCCATTCAATTTCTCGACCATTCTTTCCCCACGGTCCTCCCGACTGCTGCGAAACTCTGCAAGAGTCGATTGTAGAGAAGAGTCGTCGTGATCAACAAAGTATCCGAGGATATGAATCTCGCTCCCCGGCACATCTGTACTCAGCTCTATGCCAGGTATTAAAGTCATTTGAGGGTACGCAGCAGCAGCCTCGACCGCTTCAGGTAAGCCATTGGTGGAGTCATGGTCGCTGATGCAAATCACCTTCAGCCCTCGCTCGGCGCACAGCGCAACGAGTTGTGTAGGCGTCAGAGTTCCGTCAGAGAATGACGTATGTAGGTGTAGGTCCACTTCGATAGGATGCACAGTTTTGTTTCTCTCCGTTTAACACTTTGATATCTGATTCTGTGAACTTAATGCAAAGAGGCCGCTTCAGAGATTAAGAAACCGCCAAGGGCTTGAAAGCAACCCTTGGCGGTCTTTAATGCCTATAAATCCGGTTGAACAATGCTACCGAGCGTATCCGACTGAACGGCTTTCCCGAATTACGGTTACCTTTATCTGTCCGGGATAGACGAGTGTCGCCTCGATCTTCTTCACGATGTCGTTGGCCATCTTTGCCGCCGTCGCGTCGTCAACGGCTTGTGGCTTGACCATTACGCGCACTTCGCGGCCCGCCTGAATAGCGTAGCACTTCTCCACGCCGTCAAATGCGCGCCCGACTTCTTCCAAAGCCTGGAGACGCTTGATGTAATTCTCTGCGGTATCCCTACGCGAGCCGGGGCGCGCTGCGCTGATTGCGTCCGCGGCCGACACGATGAAGGCTTCGGTTGAACTCATCACATCGTCGTGGTGCTCGGCGATGCAGGTGCAACACCGCCTTGCGACGCTGTGCTTTTGATGCGATAATCCGCGCCTATTTCGGCGTGTGGTCCCTCGACTTCGTGCGATAAAGCTTTGCCAAGGTCGTGCAGCAAGCCGCCAGCCATTGCAACTTTCACATTGGCGCCCACCTCTGAAGCAATCATGCTCGATAGGTGCGCCACCTCAATGCTGTGCTGCAGGACATTCTCGCACGTAGCTGTAGCGATACTTCAAGCGTCCGAGCAGCCGAACAATGTCGGGATGCAGCCCGCGGACGCCGACTTTCGAGAGCGGCTTCCTCACCACTCTTCCAAATAAGTTTCCGAGACTTCTCTTTCTCAGACCTGCCCACCATCTCCTCGATGCGGGCCGGATGTTATTCTTCCGTCGGACACCAGATTGGTCACAGCTAGGCGGGCGATCTCTCTGCGACGGGATCAAAGCAGGAAAGCGTTACCGCCTCCGGGGTGTCGTCTATGATGAGGTCCACCCCTGTGGCCTTCTCGATTGCGCGTATATTGCGTCCTTCACGGCCTATAAGACGACCTTTCATGTCGTCGCTGGGGAGTTGCACTGTGGTGACTGTGGCTTCGGAAACCACATCAGCCGCGAACCTGTGAATCGCAAGGGCGAGGATATTGCGAGCCTTTTCGTTGGCTTCTGCCTCGCCTGCTCTTCAAAGTCGCGGTAGCGGATTGCAAGATCGTGCTCGATTTCCTGCTCGGCGCTGTACATCAGTTCGTTGCGAGCGTCGGACATGGATAACTGACTAATTTCTTCCAGCTTTGTGAGCTGTTCGGAGCGCATAGCATCTTGCTGCTGCTTGTGCTCCTGTTTCATCTCCTGGAGGCGCTGCTTTCTCTTCGCTTTCAGTTCAGTAAGTGAATGCTCAAGTTCGCTAACCGTCTTTTCCTTGTCGGATAACTTTCTTTCGCGGCGTTCTAGATTGGTCGCGCGCCGCTCTACGTTCTCCTGTCTGTTAGCGATACGCTGCTCCGTGCGCTGAACCTCAGAACGACGTTCACGGATCTCGGCTTCTGCATCCGTGCGGAACTTTAGCGCTTCCTCCTTGCCTTCGATGATAATCGCGCGCCGCTCATCGGCAACGTCTTCCAGAATTTGCGCGGCCTCCGACTGCGCTGCTGCGTAACTCTTCTTCTGAAGAAGTCCTCTTCCGAAATATCCACCAAGTGCGCCTATGGAAAGGCCTATGAGGACGGCGAGTATCGAAAAAATTGCAATTTCCAAAATACTCACCTCCCTTCAAGATAAATTGCCCTAGATTATCTAGGTCTCCCGATGAACTAATAGTATAAGCCATGTCAATAGGTGTCAAGGTGAGAATATCACGAGAAGCGGCAGCAGCGCAGCTCTGGCGCGATTGCAGAAAAACTCGTTTACACGGTGTTAGACTGCTCTATGCTTTATCACCCAGGTTTAACACGAGGCAAACCGGGACTCCTCAAGCGATGGTCTGATAGTAGTCTGCTCAGTGGTGGCGTGTCCCGGCCAACCTGTCAGAACTGCCTATGGGTTTAGCCTTCCAAATCCTGAAGTTGCTGCAAAACCGTCTCAGGCTCTGGTCGATCTCCTGTGCTGCCGACGTACTTCCATCGAATGACGCCGCTCTTGTCTATGATGAACGTGGACGGCTTAGCGATGTTGTTGCCGGCAAGCACTCCGTAATCATTGATGACCGCCCTTTCAGAGTCGATAGTATGGGGAAAGGTGCTCCCCACTGATGTGCGGCTCCCTCGGCTCCCTCTAGATTGTCAGCGCTGACCGCGAGGATGATGGCGTCCTGTTTCTTTATCTCGGCGTAATGGTCTGTCAACTCGACGAGCTGAGCGCGACAGAATGGTCACCAGAATGCCCGGTAGAAGACCAGCACCACATTCTTGTCGCCTCTGAACGATTCAAGGGCGTATTCTCCGCTGCGTGCGCTCGGTAACGTAAAGCCTGGTGCGAGGTCGCTGACATTGGTGCCGACCTGGAGTGAAGGCGCTGCTGTCGGTTCCGGCGTGGATGTAGGAACGGCAGTTGCAGTGGGTGGCACAGGCGTCACTGTCGGCTGTGGTGTGGATTCTGATGCTGCTGTTGCAGTGCTGGTGGGTGTGTCCGCCGGCTGCTGTGTAGGCTGTTCCGCGCGGGGTTCTGCCGTGGGCGCAGTTGTCGCAGCTTCCGTCGGCTCTTCCACAGGCTCAGGCGTTGTCGCTGCACTGGTGGTCGGAATTGCGGTCGGAGATGGCGGAGCGGGCGTATCCACGCGGGCTACAACCGGAGCTGTAGTCGCCGTTGCCGCAGGTGCTTGCGTCGCGGTTGGCGCGGTCGGTGCGGGCTGCGGTGCAGACGCGCTTCCGCCACAGGCGAGCATGGCGGTGACAGACAGCGCGAGCGCTGTTCCTATGATCGTGTGCTTGAAATTCAGGCCCATTATTTTAAGGATGCCTCCCATTGTTGCTGGCTGGGGTCGCTGATTTAGTCGGCGCTTGTTACTTTTCCTCGTTGGATAATGTAGCATAGCCGACACTGGACAGTTGCCTACAAATAATATGATGCTTGATTCGGTGAAAGGGTTGTCGCACGGCGGTTGGAAATGAGTCGCGATTTGTCATTAGGGGCATTCCGGAACACTTCGCTGAGCCTGTTCACCGACCTGTATGAGTTGACGATGGCGCAGGCGTATTGGCAGGCGGGCGTTACGGCACAGGCGTGCTTCAGTCTGTTCGTGCGGCGATTGCCGACGGATCGCGGATATCTGTTATTCTCAGGGCTCGAAGACATGCTGGACGCCTTGAGTGGCATGAGGTTCAGCGACGATGATATCGTTTTCCTGCGTTCACTGGGACTGTTCGATGAGGACTTTCTGGATTATCTGCGTTGTCTGCGCTTTGGTGGATGTGTTCGCGCCCTGCGGGAGGCGAGCATCTTCTTCGCAAACGAACCGGTGCTTGAGGTAACAGCCCCGGTTATCGAGGCCCAGATTGTCGAGACACTCCTGTTGAATCAGTTCAATGTGCAGACGATGCTGGCAACCAAGGCTGCGCGGTGGTGAGTGCGGCGGACGGCAGGGCGGTGGTGGACTTTGCGGCGCGGCGCACGCAGGGCATAGACTCGGCAATCAAGTTTGCGCGCGCCGCTTACATAGCAGGGTTCGCAGGCACAAGCAACGTGCTTGCTGCCAAGCGGTATGGCATACCCGCAGTTGGCACGATGGCGCACTCGTTCATCACTTCGTTCGATAGCGAATTGGAAGCGTTCGGTGCCTACGCCGCGTCATTTCCTGACAACTCCACCTTTCTTGTGGACACATACGACACGATCGAGGGCATACGAAACGCGATCACTGTTGCAAAACGAATGAGGGAACAAGGGCATGAACTTAACGCCATAAGGCTGGATAGCGGCGACCTGCTGGCACTGTCAATCGAGGCGCGCTCGATGTTGGATGCGGCGAGTCTGCCTGAAGTTCAGGTGCTTGCAAGCGGCGGACTTGACGAGTTTCAGATCGAGAGCCTGCTGAGTCTTGGAGCAACGATTGACGGCTTTGGCGTTGGGACGAATGTCGGAACTTCCGCGGATTATCCGTGGCTTGATTGTGTTTACAAAATGGTGGAGTATGACGGCAGGCCCACTATGAAGCTCAGCGAAGATAAGGAAACGCTGGTGGGCGCAAAGCAGGTTTTCCGGTATGTGGGCGAGGACGGAATGTATGCAGGTGATGTAATTGGATGCACCGACGAGCCTGTGCTAGAGGGGACGGAGATGCTGCTTTCGGAAGTAATGAGGGACGGTAGGCGGCTGGAAGTCGCGCCCTCGCTGGCTGAATTGCAGCAGCGATGCTCCAGTGAAATTGGGCGTTTGTCGGACACGCAAAAGCAGTTGCGCTCACCTGACGAGTATCCCGTTCGAGTGAGCGAGAGGCTGCAGAGCGCGCCAGCAGAGGGCGAAGCGGGACATTCTGCGCAAGTCAGTCAATCGAGAATAGCCGAGTAAGAACAAAGAGGTGAAGGTATGGCGCGTGTTCCCTATGTTTCAAGAGAGGACTTGCCCGCCGAAAAGCAGTCGGTATACGACCACATCGAAGCGACACGGGGCGGCATAGACGGCAAAGGAATACCGAACTCTTTTCGGCTATTGTTGAACAGCCCAGACGCCGCCGAAGCCGTCGGCACGCTGGGCGAGCACATTCGGCTGGGTTCCACGCTTCATCCTGCATTTCGAGAGACGGCGATACTTGGTGTCGCTCGCGCGCTCGATAGCCAGTATGTCTGGGCGCACCATGAGCCTATTGCAAGGTCTGTCGGCGTGCGCCCGCAGGTCATTGAATCGATTCGCAGCGGCAGGGCGCCGATGGGCTTGCCGCCCAAAGAGGGAGTGTTCGCTCAGGCAGGCAAGGAATACGTGCGAAACGGGTCCCTTAGCGAGCGCACATTTCAGGCGGTCGAGCATCTGTTAGGGCCACAGGGAGCGGTAGAGCTTGTGGTCGTTATCGGATACTACGCGATGCTGAACGCGGTGCTCGGTTCGCTAGGAATAGAGCTGGACGAGCACCTTGAGGCGTCCTTGCCGTGTAGGCTGGCGTGCCAAGATAACGATGACTGGAATCTCGATTTGACGAACGAATCTGACGACAATCCCAATGCCCACGTTGCGGTGCGTGAGCGGACCTTACGTGACAAGCTGTCCACGCCCTCGTGGATACTGTACGATTTCTCGGACACGATATTCTCTGCCAGCATTCTTACCTTCTTCTTCCCGCTATGGGTGACGCAGGACGCGGGCGGCACGGACGCCCTCTTCGCATTTGCGCTGTCTCTGTCCGCTTTGTTGGTAGCAATCACCGCTCCGCTATCGGGCGCGCTCTCCGACAGAATGAACAGGCGCGTTCCGATGCTCGCCGTCTGCGTACTGCTATGTGCTCTTTGCACTGGCCTGATTGGTGCATTCGGTGGCCTCAGCGCGGGCCTGACCTTATTCTTCTTCGCCAACTTTCTGTATCAGACTGGCTTGTCTTCTACAACTCGCTTATTCGCAATGTCAGCTCGGAGTCCGGGCGGGGCATAGTGTCAGGTATAGGTGTGGCGCGGGCTATGTCGGCCTCTTTGTGTCAGTTCCAGTTGCTGGGCCCAGCGTAGAGGAGCATGGCAACCAGTGGGCATTCTTCCCACGCGCGGGCTGTATGTGCTGTTCGCGCTGCCGCTCCTGCTGATCGTCAAGGATGTGGGCAGGATGCGGAGCATAACCCGAAATCTTATTGGCGAGTCGTACAAGCAACTTTACGCTACCTTCCGCAACGCGCGGCTGCACAAGAACCTATTTCGCTTCATAGCGGCCCGCTTCCTTTACATGGAGGCTATCAACACGGTCTCGTCTTTCTATGTCATCTACTTGGTAAGCGTAAACGCATTCACCGAAGACGAAGCGCGGGATATGGTCGTAAGACTGCTTATGGTTGCCGTAGTGTCGTCGATTATCGCTGGATTCTGGTCAGCAGGTATGGCTCAAAGAAGGTGCTCATCGTTGCGCTGGTTGGCTGGACTATGGTAGTAGTCGCCGCTGCGCTGGTGAACGCCACCTGGATGTTCTGGGTAGTGGGCGCGGTAACAGGATGCTTCTGGGGGGCGCCGCAGATTGCCGACAGGGTGATGCTGACAAGGCTCGCGCCGGAGGGACAGTTGGGCGAATTCTTCGGTCTGTTCCAGATGTCAGGGAGGCTGTCCGCCGTGTAGGACCTGCGCTGTGGGGACTGACGACGACAGCATTAATCGGCTTGGGCGAATGGCGTTACCGTGTTGCCATGCTGCTGGTGTCGCTGTTCTTATAGGAGGGTTTGCGCTATTGCTTGCCGTGCGTGAGGAGCGCGACCCGCCCGACTTGCTCACCTCTGACGAGCAGCCGACTGCGAGCAAAGTCGTTGACTGAAAATAGGCGCACTGATAAACTCTTTGGAACATATCTGCGGGCGCGCGTAATGCGTATATTGGCGTGTGGGGCGCGTCTTCAGATTTCCTTGATTGACAACGAAGATGGAGGATGCAAATGACGACTGTACAGTCAAAACAGGATGTTGCGCTGATGGCGCACCTGCTGCGAAGGGCTTCCTTCGGCGCGACCCGGAAAGAGGTCGAGCAGCGGATGGAAGCGGGCTACGAAGCACTGTCGAGGACCTGCTATCGCGAGTCGGCATCCTTCTCGATGCCCGAGGACATCATCCGCCGTTACCATGTTGACCAGTCCGACCTTCGCGGCGCCGCCGCCGCCGGAGCGCACTGGGTATATCGCATGGCGACGACCGAGAACCCACTCGAAGAGAAGATGGCGCTGCTATGGCACCGTATTTTCGCGACCGCCGCCACGCAAGCTCATTCAGGCTCGTATGGTCGTGAACCAGGTTGAGATGTTCCGCAACTACGGCATGGGCAACTTCCGTGACCTGCTGGTGAACCTGTCGCGCGACCCCGGAATGCTGATGTGGCTGGACAATCAGGATAATCACAAGGGCTCCATCAACGAGAACTTCGGCAGAGAAATTCTGGAACTCTTCTCGATGGGAGTGGGCAACTACACCGAAGAGGACATCAAGGAGTGCGCTCGGGCGTTCACCGGCTGGAGCGTTGTCAACCCCGACTACATGTCCATCAAGATGCGCAACAACACCGCCCGTCCTTACGGCTACATCGCATGGCAGTTCAACTACGATGAAGATGACCATGACCATGATGACAAGCTCTTCCTCGGCGAGAGGGGCGACTTCAACGGCGAGGATGTGGTGGACATAATTTGCAAGCAGGAAGCCACCCCGCGCTTCATCGCGCGCCACCTGTATCACTTCTTCGTGGCTGACGAATCTCCGGTCCCGCAGTGGCCCTACGAAGACCCCAAAGACCCCGAAGCCATCGACATCATGACGCAGGCTTACTTCGATTCCGGGTACGACATCTCTGCGATGCTGCGGGTGATGTTCAACTCCGACTTCTTCAAGGACGAGGCTGTGCGCTTCGGCAGGATCAAGAGCCCCGCCGAGATGGTGGTCGGCACATTGCGACTCGCTGGTGGGCTTGAACTGCCGTCGATGGAGACATACGCGGCTGCGGGTGTGTGCTCGCAAATGGGGCAGGCGTTGTACGCGCCTCCGAGCGTCGAGGGCTGGCAGGGTGGCAGCGAGTGGATCAACACAGGCTCGTATGTGCATCGGATCAACTTTGCGAGCAAGGTGCTCGGCAACCCTAATAAGCCGGGACTGCGCATGCTCATAAGCGATGTGCAGGATTACGCCGAGGATGGCGTGCTGGACGCGGAGAGGCTGGTTGATGCCTGCTTCGATGTCATAGGTCCGATGCCCGTTCTGGATAGCACGCGACAGGGACTAATCGACTACGCCACCAAGTGGGGCGACCTAACATTCGATGACGACGATGCGACCGAATACGCCGAGCAAAAGATAGTTACAATGCTTCAAATGGCGGTAACAACGCAGGAGTATCAGCTGGCGTAAAGTCATTGGGGCATTTCACACTCAGACCCAAATGAGGACAGCAATATGGCCACGCAGACAATCACAAAGCCCTTCACACTGAATTATTTGGACACAATCGGGTTTGTCGCCGACCAAGGAGGGCGGGGATTCCACCTGCCAACCGACATGGTGATACGCGAAGACGGCAGGATATTCGTCGCAAGTCGCAGCAACACGACCGCCCTGGATATCGTGGGCATTCAGATGGCGACCGTTGACCACCAATTTTTAGGTCAATTATACGGCTATGGCAGAGGTGATGGTCAGATGATATGGCCCTCAGCCGTGGCGCTTGACAGCGACAACTTGCTTTACATGGCGGACGACTTTCTTCAGCGTGTAACAATTTATGATGCTGATGGCAACTTCGTCTCCAAGTGGGGCACTGTCGGCGCGGGCAATGGCGAGTTCGACGGTCCTTCGGGCTTGGCATTCGACGCAGATGACAATCTTCTGCTAGTTGACCATCGCAACCACAGGGTGCAGAAACTCACTAAGGACGGCGAGTTCATCAGCGAGTTCGGCTCTTTCGGAAGCGGCGATGGCGAGTTCAACCTTCCATGGGGGATCGCGCTCGACAGCGAAGGCTTGATTTACATCGCCGACTGGCGCAACGACCGCATACAGAAGCTCACGCCCGACGGCGAATTCATCGCGGCGTTCGGTTCTACTGGTGATGGCGAAGGTCAGTTCAACCGCCCGTCAGGACTCGCTGTTGACTCTGACGGCAATATGTACATTGCCGACTGGGGCAACCAGCGAGTGCAGGTGCTCGACGCAGAAGGGAACTTCATCACGTCATTGCGGGGTGAAGCGACACTAGGGAAATGGGCGGTCGAATACCTGAACGCGAATGCCGACGAACTGGACGCCCGCTCGCGCTTCGTGCCGGAGTTCGAAGTAGATATCGAGGACGAGCACGAGGCATCCGCGCGCATCGAGTCATTCTTCTGGGACCCGGTTACAGTCGTGCTGGACGAGCAGGAGCGCGTCTATGTGCTTGAGACCTGCCGCCATCGTTTTCAGGTGTATGAGAGGGTATAGAGGCAAGCACTAGCATTCCCGTCTAAGGACACTGCGAATTGGTCAGTAAACGCATAGCAGACAAAATCGCTGCAAGTTCAAAGAAGGCTCTCACTGATGCGAAACGAGGTGTGAGCGATTTAGATCTTGAGCGCAAGGCGCAGGGAACGATTGAAGCAGCGAAAACGACGATTGCTTCAGGTGAAGATGTGCGTCAAAGAGTCCATGGAACACTGAAGGAAACCGGAGCACATTTCAGGCAAAGGCGCAGCCGTGCAGGTGGTGAAATCGCTGCAATTGCGCACTCTCTTGAAAGTGTCGTATCCAACGTTAGTTATGCCGACTTAAGCGTTGGCTTGCAGAATAAGTTCAAAGCTGCAGGGGGATTGGGTGGTGAGCGCGGAACTTGGCGCACAGTGACGGAAGCGCAGAGTTTCTACGATAACAGCGTACCTGACGCAGTCAAAATACTCGGCGAAGATGCAGTCAAGGAGTTTCTCAAGGGAAAAGACGCCAGCCATATCAGATGCATTTGAAAATGCACTGAATTGCCAAAGCCGATTCCAATTTCCTTTGGGCAAGCCTTAGAACTAATCGCGCCCGTGGCGCAGCTGATATGACCGGTTGGGAGCAATATCCAAAATTATATCGTTAAAGAGACACGCGTTTGAGTCCGTTGTGCGATTGTGGCACAAGCGCATGCCCTGCGGCTACTTTATGCAAGTAGCTATTGCAAGGGACGCGATAGTATCTAGAGAAGCAGGCATCTATGTGGTACAGGAGGACAGAAGGACACTACACGGCATACACGACACTGCAAGCAATTCGCAAAAGTGCGTAGTCGTGCTGAGTAGACGGAAGGTGACTATTCGCAGGCGCGAGCGCAGTAGCGCTTCCGCTGTGATTGACGGTGCAGCACCGGTATGGCGTGAGGCGGTGCTTTGCTGGTTTATCTGGCGCAAAGCGCTTACATACCGCTTTGACATTGAGAGTGACGGAAGAAGCGATGGTATGATGTCGTATGTGGTGCGTTACACCACGACGACCGCACGGACTACATATTGTAGTGCTCTGACAATCAACTCGACTATGAACGAAACTTAGCAGAAGAATACTGTTGCGTCATATTCAGAGAAAGACTCAACTGTACCGGCAGCTAAGAGGAACGAACACCTTATGAGCAGCAATGGCAAGAAACCGCAAACTAGTGGTGGTGCAGCTTTCGGGTGGCAACGACTACCTGAATTGCATTGTGCCCTACAACGACCCGCTGTACATCGACAACCGCCCGAATATCCGCATTTCCGAGGAGCGCGCCATTCCGCTGGATGAGAACTACGGCTTCAACCCCGGCATGGGGCCTGTCAAAGATTTGTGGGAAGAGGGCAAAGTCGCCATCGTACATGGCATTGGGTATCCCACGCCGAACCGCTCGCACTTCCGCTCGATGGACATCTGGCACACTGCCGAACCGACCAAGGTGGGCGATCAGGGTTGGCTGGGTCAGGCGCTGCGCGAGATGGACCCTAGCGGCGAGAATGTGGTCGGCGGTGTGAACTTCGGCGCGGGGTTGCCTCGCGCTCTCGTGTCGCCCGGCGTGCCCGTTGCGTCGGTTACCGACCTCGAAAGCTACGGCCTGCTCAACGACATTGACGGCGCAGACCAGCGCGCAGAGGCGCTCGAAGTGTTCGCCAACATGTACACGCAGGCGCTAGGCAGCGGGCCGGTGATGGACTTCCTGAGCAAGACTGGCTTGGACGCGCTGCGAGGCGCGGACATCTTGCAGACGGCTCCGCAGAAGTACCAGTCCGATGTGGAATACGGCTCCGACTCTTACGGCAAGAGCATGAAGGGCGTGGCACAGGTCTTGCTCGCCGATGTGGGTACGCGCATCTGCTACACGCAGCACGGCAGCTTCGACACCCACACGAACGAGGTTGCGCTCCAGGAGCGGTTGCTGACAGATATTTCCGGCGGCATCTACGATCTCTACACTGACCTGAAGCAGCACGACGCCAGTGAAGACGTGCTGATGCTGGTCTTCACGGAGTTTGGCAGGCGGGTCAAGGACAATGGTAACGGCTCAGACCACGGCTCAGGTGGCGTCTCTTTCCTGATCGGCGACGGCGTGATGGGTGGCCACTACAACGAGTACCCAATCGCTGGAAGCTCACACACTTGTTGAGGGCGACCTTGCGTTCAACTTCGACTTCCGCGGCCTCTACACCGAGATTCTCGAGGACTGGCTGGAAGTTGAGGCAAAGCCCATCGTACAGGGCACTTACGAGAAGGTAGGCGCGCTCGCAGTGTAGGTTCTAGCCTACAAAGATCAGTAGCCAAAGATTGAGGGGCAGTCTGATGACTGCCCCTCTTTTTTCATTGCCGAGCGAAAGAAAAAAGATTACGACGCGGCAGGCGCAACCTTCTCGGCGAAGTGCTCCAGGATGCGGATGCACTCCTCGATGTCGGGCGTGGGGAAGTCGTAGGTAAGCTGATGGATGCCGATGTCGGCACACTTCTTGATGTCTTCGATGACGGACTGCGTGTCGGCGACAATGCCAGCGCCCGTTGTATTGCCACCGCTTCCGCCTCCTGACACTCCGATGTCCGAGATGTGCAGGCTGCGCTTGAGGGAAATAGTGATGTCGTCGTGTCTGCGTCCCTCCGCTTCAACCTGCTCGTACAAATAGGGCAAGTTGCGCGTGACATACTCCGGTGTCTGGCGGGAAGGATGCCATGCGTCGCCGTACTTCGCAGTGCGTCGCAGTGCGCGGCGCGTGTGCCCGCCGACCCATATCGGTATTCGCGGCTGCTGCACAGGTTTCGGCTCGAAGAAGATGCCGTCGTAGCTGTAGTAGTTGCCGCTGTACACGGGTTCTTGTTCGCTCCACAGGGTTCGTGAAGATTTCGAGCCACTCGTTGGTCATCGGCCCGCGCTCTGAGTACGGTACATCCAGCGTCTCGAACTCTTTCTCCAACCAGCCCACGCCCACGCCGCAGACGGCTCTGCCCTTCGACAGCACATCGAGCGAGGCAAATATCTTCGCCTGCAACACGGGGTTGCGGTAAGGCACAATGACGACAGTGCTGCCGATGCGTATGCTGCTTGTGCAGGCGGCGACATAGGCAAGCACGGTCAATGTCTCAAGAAACGGCGCTTCGTGTGGGCGTCTGAATGAGCCATCTGGAGTGTACGGGTACTGGTTCGTAGACGCAGTGGGCAATACAATATGGTCGCCTATCCATACCGACTCGAAGCCGAGCTCTTCAGCATTCCGCGCGAATCTGCTCAGTTCGTCGCCGTCCATCGTGTTGGGCAGGCAGAATCCGTATTGCATTGCGCCGCTCCTCTCATCTCATTCCGGTGGTGTGAAATCCGCAAGAGTATATCAAATACCAAAGCGGTCAGTTAGTCAGACGGGCGCACGCCCTCGAAGTACCTCCTGGGGTTGTCGACCATCATCCGGTCGATGACTGTTTCAGGTACCCCGGACTCCATTAGCCTGGGAATTACAGCGCGGCTGAGCCAGAGATATCCGTCAGGATTCTGATCCCTGCTGGGCATGCCCGGCGAGCCAATGCGGGACAGCACAATGTTCCAGTCATGGGAAAGCATCAGGCCGGAGGCCAAGCCTTCGTCTAGTCGCTCTTTCAGATAGTCGGTCCTTTGCTGCCAAGGAGGCAGGTTCGGGTGGCCGAAGGGATTGTTTATGTCCCATCCCAGCCAGACCCCGAGCCGGGCCAGCTCCCGGTGATAGTCCGGATCAAGAGTGTTGTTGATGTGCCCCACATATACGTGATGAGCCTCTACACCTTCCTCTTTGAGGATTCGCACCTGCTCCACGCCTATCCGTGACTCGGCTGGCGTGTGCGTGGTAATGGGAACGCCGGTGCGCAGGTGTGTGCGGGCAGAGACCCGCAGCATCAACTCTTCCTGCTCTGTAATTGGGTCACTGGTGGCCACTTTGATGATGCCGGCCTTGATTCCCGTACCTCGATCCCTTCCTCAATTTCCCGCACCCAAAGGTCCGCGATGAAGTCCTTGTCCCTGCCCCAGAAGCTTCGCGGAATATCCAGCCAGCAGCCAGTGCAGCAGATGAACTGCACCCCCGTTCTTTCCGAAACTTCCTTCATGAGAAGAACATCCCGTCCCAGGTCCATAGGAGAAACTTCGACGACGGTGTCGACTCCGCCGCTCTTGGCCTCGTTAAAGGACTCCAAAGCCATGTCCAGGGCTTGGTCGCGGATTCAAGTTCGTAGTACGTATCCCGGATACCGGCGGACGAATCGATCAGGTGTTCATGGGGTAAAGTGAATCCCAGGTCCGCCGTATCCAACGGCCCTAGCACCGAGTTTATGGTTGCCATATCACACCTCCGATTGCTCCACTCAGTCTCGATTGGGGGGTTGTCTCTCACCGGATTGTACAACCGTTGGCTTCATTCCGCGATGGTAGAATCAGCAAATCGCCCCACCATAGCCAATTCAGTCCATGCAACAAGCGATAGGAGGAGCGAAATGCCATTCCGCTTCACTGAGCAAGAGTTGGCCGACCGCAGAGAGAAAGCTGTGTCTGAATTGCAGCACAGCAGGTTGGCGGCCCTGCTGATTTTCAGGTATTAAGAGCGGGATTCCGCAGATAAACGCAGCAGAATGCGGCTCCATTGTGAACAGATCGTCCATTAGCGGCATCGTGGGACAAATTGTGATACACATGGAATACAATGCGCCGAAGGGAGCGGTGCGGACGGTGGCAAAGTCTGAGCCGTAACACTGGGAAATGCATCGGTTAGTCATCGGTCGGTTAGACGCTTGGCATAAGTCGCAGAATGCCGGCAGGAGGAAGACAAATGACGACACATTCAATTGTTGACCGGCTTCGCAGCGGAGAGACGCTCCTTTTGGACGGTGGAACCGGGTCTGAGCTCCAGCGGCGCGGGGCCGACGTTCTCAAGGACGCCGACGATCACGTGAAGGCTTGGTCCGCTACGGCGAACATCGAATATGCCGACGTGGTGCAGCAGGTACACTCGGACTACCTGCGGGTCGGTGCAGACATAATCATCAGCAACAACTTCTGGACGTCGCCCACTCGGCTCGCGAGAATTGGCGAGGGTGATGACTGGCGCAAGTACGCGACCGCGGCGATCCGCAATGCCGTCCATTCGCGCGACTCGATGCGTCCCGAAGCGTACGTCGCCGGCGGCATCGCCGCGCCGGGTCTGCAAAAGGACCCGCCTACCGGACAAGAGCCGGTCTCCGACACGCAGCAATTGGGTGTCGAAGCGTACAGAAAGGAGTGGGCTGACCACGCGAAGCTCTTGGCCGACGAGGGAGCGGACGTGATACTGGCTGAATTCGTGGCTTTCATCGAGGACGGCGTAGTCGCGGTGGACGCATGCGCGGAGGCTGGGCTGCCTGTCTTCCTCGGTGTGCGGGAAATCAGGAGCGACGGCACGATGAGATTTGGAGAGAGCCTCGCCGACCTTGCTCGCGCACTTGAAGGCCATCCGGTCGATGCCGTCATGATTATGTGCTCCAATCCGGAGAACATATCCGTGGGCCTTCCGATCCTACGGGAGGCGTTCGCAGGTCCCGTCGGCGCATACGCGAACCTTGGCTACAACCCGACTGCCCCCCTCAGAAACAGGCGCATGCCCACGAACCAGAAGCCCGGCTCAGGCGAGGACATATTTCAGAATGCCGAGTACTATCCCTCCCGCATTGGCAGAATTTGCCGGACGTGGACGAGCTATGGGCGCGCAGATATCGGCGGATGTTGCGGCTCCGGCCCGAGCACATCTCGCGATGCAGCTCATCGTAAAGGGCAGCTAGGGAGAAATATGAGCTAGGCGTTGCCTCAATCGCTGACCGCCTGTTATGACGCAATCCTAATACCACGTTTACGCCGCGAAGAGATGAACACGGCGACATCTCGCATGTGGAGCGGTTCCTGACACGTGGCTAGCGAGCGAGGGTTGGACGCCGCCTATGCCCCGATTCGTCGTCGCGTCCTAGCCATCACGGGTTGGAAAGACCGGCTGTGTCCACGCCCGCGCCCGAGGACAAATTACCGTGGCGCGGACATATTCTTCATGCCGTCAGCCTGTATCAGCAGTGCGGACTGGTGCTCTCGGCGCCATGCACCACGTCCGTCCTCTGCCGTGACCGGATCGATATATGAAGTCGTGCTCCTGGTCGATCTCAAGCACGATACTCTCTGGCGGAGCACTCCAGCCGTGTGAGCGTCACGCCAGTCGAGGCGTAGAACCTGCCCGACGCCAGGCCATCCACGATTGCCTCTTGTGTCAACTCGTCGGCCTGCACCATCACCCAGCCGCGGCCGGGATTCGACAGCCACGGCGCGAAATCGTGATAGTTGTGCGAGTCGTCGGTAGCCACTCCGAAAATTACCCGGCCAGCACTGAGTACACCATCCCAGATTCCTTCATAGCTCGGCTTGCCGGGCGCACCGAACAGATTAACGGCCGGGTGCCCGTTGAACACCTCCAGCAGGCTGGCCCCTTCCACGCGGCTTATCTCCCCGGTGGTCGAGGGCCACCCCATAATTCGGAGTGTTGATGGGCGCTATGCCGCCTGCCTCGACTATCGCGTCCACATTGGCCTGCAGCGTCTCCACCAAGTCCCAGCATCGATAGGTTCGACGATCTGCGAAATCCCCACGCCGTTGATGTGTATCGGCGTTTCGCCTCCATTTATTCGAACGCTGACCTCCTCGCCTGGCACCATCAACGGCTTTCGGAAGCGGCGTCGGCCAGAGCCGTAATCCAGCAGAGTCAGGTGGTTGTGGTCGCTCAGCACCAGGAAGTCGTAGCCGTGCCTCCGGTACCAGCTCGCGACCTTGTGTGGATCCTCGTCACCGTCCGACTCAGTCGTATGCGTGTGTATATTTCCTCTGTACCACTGTGTTCCGCTCATGCATGCCGCCTTTCAGTGAGACTTCTACGCCATAAAGCAAAGTTTCCTGCCAGACATCCAAGGAGGCCTATGCTCCGTCCAGACAGGCCTAGTTTACCGCGTGATTCGTCTTCATTTAGTGGGTGCTGTCCGGGATAATAGTTAGGATAAGTAGCCAGCATGAATGTCATCTGCACACTCTGTGATAGTAGCAGGTCAACAGCCCTCTGACGTAGCCGTCTGGCACAGGAGATTAGATTAAGGATTGGGCAATACAATGACCACCACGGCAGTCGCCCGCCGGCGCAGACCACTCAGGCTGCATCCCAAGAGCACAGATCTGAGATTGAGAATGAACAGTCTCCATTCCTGAGAGAAGAGCAGAACTCAATATGCTTGTGACTCTCTTCCGAATCTGTATCATATAGGCAGACGGCTCGACAGGCAGCCATCCATTCGACAAGCCTAGGAAGAACGAATGCGGGCGAGGCGCCCGCGCTCCCAGGAGACGTACATGCCAATCATCGATCACAACAACGCAACGGAGGTCCCCTGGAGGCCGAACTACCGCAAGTGGCTGATCACGCAAGAGGGGGACGGTACGACTTCGACGGAGGCCGCAATCAGCGAGGTAGGCGTCGGCACCGGAGCGCCCCTGCATACGCACGAGGACGATGAGCTGATCGTGGTGCTGAGCGGCACTCTGAGCGTCCGGTACGGGGATGAGACGCACGAGGTGGGTGCGGATCACACGATCGTCGTGCCTCCCAACGTGCCCCACGGCTTCACGGCGATTGGGGACGCTCCGGCCAGGATCATAGGGATGTTTCCGGCCAAGGACCCGTTCCTTCGCACACGGTTCCTGGAAGGCGGGCCGCCGGAGGTGCATAGTTGAGCGGTTACTCTACGCCTAGCTGACTTCTGGGTCTTCGAGCGTTCGGGCTGCACTGACGGTCGGCGCACATCGATGCGGGCACAATCTGGGATATTGAAGTTCCTGAAACACCGTTCGCCCCACGTAATACCCACTCCCTGCGCACCATACCCTGACGCCGGCTATTCCAACTACAGCATGAGGGCGGCGGGATTTGAGAATTCAGACCAGCCCTTCGGTCACCGCCGCATCCTCGATTATCTCCCATCCCTCTTCAACGCCTGCGACGAAGCTGTTGCAGCCTTCTCCTTCCAGCACCGCCCGTTCCACCTCATCAGACCCGGTAATTGCGAGGAACGCCGCTTCGATCTGCGCTACTAACTGCGGTTCCATTTCTCGCTGGGCGGTGAAGCAGCAGTGGCTATAGGCGGGACTGGACCAGAACACTCGCACCGGATGTCCAGACAGGCTGCCATCCTCCGCCATCAGATCCAGCGTTCTCCGGCTTACCGCTCCGGCATCGAACTCGCCGGATACTACGCGCTCAACCACATCGCGCTCGTCTGACGTGTTCCGTGATTCACGCTCCTCATAGAAACTGACGGCCGAAAGGTCTTTGTCAGGGTTCAGCCCTGACTGCTTCAGAACGTAGTAAGGCACCAGACCGGCCTGCTCGGAACTGCGGCGGCCAAATGCCAACCGTCCTGCCTAAAAGGTCCTCGACAGTCAGGATATCTGACTCCGAGTGGGTGATGAACTGCGTAACGAAGTCAATGTCAACATCGCGCATCGCTATGACGCGACACGGCCGGTCCAGAAGGCGCTTGATCTTAACGTAACCGAGCGGTCCGTTCCACGCCAGGTCAATGTCGCCCTTCACAAAGGCATCCACCATCGCGTCGTAGTCCGAATACAGAATCCAATCCAGGTCGATTCCCCTCCGGCGAAACAGTTCCTCCAGTCCCTTAAATACGTCGAAATGAGCTGTTGTAGCCGACCCGCCTAGCGTGACCATGTTGTCCTCCTGTGATTCTGAGACCCAGCCAGTATGTATTGGAGCCTCGTGATTAGAGACAAGTTACATCCTTAAAATTTGCCGGGCATTCCGCGAATTCGAGCGCCTTCAGCCGCCCGGAACCTCTTCCATTTAGATTCTGCGAACTGCCCATCATTCGTTCCAATCACCTACGGCACTTTCGCAAGACTCCCTTGCGAGTCGGGCGCTTGTCGCAAATGGATATGCGTCGAATAAATCAGCGAATGTCCCAGCCAGCGTATTGATGGACGGACAAGGTAGATCAACCGAATGCTCAATGTTGCTTAGGGCAAATCAAGTGTCGGGCAGATCGTCCTGATGGCCTCGAATCAGTGCCACAAACTCTTCAGGATGTCGCACGAAACGCCCACTCCGTAATTCGGTACCGCGATGAAGCGA